ATAAGTTTAATATTGTTTCAATATAAATTCAACATATTTTTAATATAAATTCAACACAACTTTCAGTATAAGTTTAAAGATAATTTTAATATAAACAACTTGATACATTATTGCTTAAGTAAAAAAAATTAATTATTTGAAATTAATTGCATTTTATCAAAATTGTGTGAAATTATTAAAAAAAACAATTATAAGTAATTTTGGGATGAATATAAATTTGAACCTGAACATGTTTTGTTTTGATGAAATATCTAGCATTTCACCTGTTATATTCCATGCTAATAGGAATATATACTTGAACAACACAGTAGATAAAATAAGTAAAGGTTTATTGTAAAACCAGTACAATAAGAATAAAGGTAACAGTTATGCGCACAATTGTTGCAAGTCAATCCAGTAGTGAGTGCTACTATTGGAAGGCTGGTAGTTCTTGCATAAGTCTGAGTCGTACTTAACAGATCCCAGCTAGACAATATTTACCAGCCTCCCCATGAGGTAGGATGTGGCACAAGGCTGAGTTTAATGTGGGGTAATCTGCACCTGTAGGCTCAGCCAAAAATTCCCCTTAGACCCCATATAAAACGGGGTCGGGTAGCTGTTTCCTGAGATGAGATTCTGCCCTTGATTCACTTACATGGTAATACCACCAGCTATGGATAAATAGCAGGATAGACTGGAACCTATAACCTTGGGTTTTAACAAGTCTAAGAGAAGGAAAACTCTGAATTCAGACCACCTACTGCTTTGTAGATTTTGCCTCTTTAACTTCTGATAGGAGGGGTAGGGTAACCTCAGCATCCCCGGGGCAAAAGGAACTGGCAAACCATTGTAATATTCTACTTTGAATGTCACCATGAACCATAGTTGTGAGATGGAGGGAAATGGTAACCACGGCAATGCAAAATAGGCCAACTGAATAAAAAATGATGATGAGAGAAATGATAAAATTTGATTTAGAAAATTTTAATCCTTAAATTCTGCTTGTGAGTTTGAACTCAATTATAACTAAGAGAAAACTCAATAAAACCAAGTAATATTTGAACATTTTGGCCTCCTAGTAACTTGAACTACAAACAAACATTGCACTGATCCAACAATTTCCCACATCTCCTGAGGATGTGGATCAGTGTTGTCATAAACCTTTTATTACAATTTTATTCATTGTATTTTTTTTTTATTTTCAGCCCTCTGAACTTTGCTACATCTGTTGAGGATTATGAAATGCATGGGCCTCCAAGTAAAAAGCCCAAAACTCCTAGGGTAAGTACAAATCTTGTTTTGTTTACAAAAAATAATATTGATCTCTTGGACTTGATAAGTAACCCAAGGTGATTATCTAAATAGCAGTTTAGAAGTTAATAATAAGACAAGTTTGCCAGCTATTACACTGGGTAGATGTGGCGCAAATCTGAAAGTATGGAGCTCTCATTGAGGTTCTAAGTCACTACTCAGTCATAACTGATCTAGCAAAACCAGCTTGCTAACCATTACACCATGTCAAAGTGCCCAATATAATAGTATACAGGTACTGTGAGTACCTGGGTATGACGATAAACTACATCCACATCCTGGGTATGACGATAAACTACATCCACATCCTGGGTAAGATGATAAACTACATCCAACAGCAAGGCCTCTGATCAGGAAGTTTTGTGGAGCATGGAACCACCTCTTAATTGCTGGTGTTCCCAGGTCCACCCTGACCCGGGGTAGTAGCACCTGTTAGGGTCCCAGCTATGGGCAAATAGTTAACCCCGAAACTGGGATAAAAACACTATGAAAGTGTAAAAACAGGGTTTAATACCAGAAATACTTTGTAAAAAAAATTATTTCCAGCAATAAATTTTTGAAGAAAAAAAACTATTTACCAGAAACAGATTTTTGACAAAACAAAATATTACCAGCAATGAAAATTTTGTCAGCATTAAATAACCAATTCAAGTTGATATGCCATAAAACAAAACAAACCAAACCAAACCCCACAATCAATTTTAGATCTTTAAACTAGACCACCTGTGACCCATTGGGTCAACCTTGTTGTGTTTACTGTTTACATTTAGTTTCATGAAGAGTTTGTGAAAGTAGAGATATTTTTAAAAAATACATTTATTTGCAGTTATTGAAGTTGCTTTTAACATTAAAAAATTGTTTGTTTGAAGAAAATTGAACAATAAGAGCCTGGAATGTCAAAATTTGGAGTGTTGGGATTTGATACAGTAACATAAAATATTGTTGCAGGACTGCACGTAATTCAACCGTTTAGAATAACCAAACAATTTTCATTGAAAGAATAAAATTCAGTAGAAAAAACAACATACTTTCAACAAATGAATATTAATTTAATGACAAGAATACAAGCAATTGGTCATAGATTGGAAAGTAATGTCTTTGTTTTTGGGTTAATAAAATTCTGAAATAAAATATAAATTCTCTTTGTGTACGTATGTGAGAAACAATGAAATGTTATATGTGTGTTTATGTGAAAAAGTCAACACATGTGTGTGTGGTTCAGAATAAAGAGGATACAAGAGATAGAATTTGTTTCTTTAATGTGGATGGTGTTGCTGTAGTCTGAAGAGGTCTCTTTGAAGGTCTCAGCACTGTCACTTTTAGCAAGAGGTCATGAAGTTCACAAGTGAGAATGGCATGGACCTTGATGACAGCTGTGCATATCCTGTTTAGGGTCGGATTTGTATGTTTTATTCACTTTCTCATAATTTCCTACATGATGATAAATTTACATCTTTCTTTTCCCAACTCTCTATATATGTCTTGTTTATATATTTATTTTCCCCACTCTCTATACATGACATGTCAAACACACAAGATACAAAGTTCACAGAGTTTTATATAGTAATAAGATATAAAAAAAAAAGGAACAAAGAGAAAATGAAAGAAAAAAATGGGGAATGCATTTTCTCATCATTTTCTTTTCTATTTTCAGGATCCAATGTCTCACCGTATAATAGAAAAACGTCGACGAGATCGCATGAACAACTGTCTTGCAGATCTTAGTCGTCTTATTCCTGCTAACTACATGAAACAGGTATGTCCTTCCTATTCCAAACAATTTGCCTAATCTCCGATTTTGTTAAATTTTTTCTAGTTCACAGGATCACTGATATGTCCCTACAGGCAAGGAAGAGTTTTGTTTTTGCTTATATTTTATGTTATTTTTTTAATTTTCAAATATTCCATATCTCCAGATTTTTCTCCTTCTTGGGAATTTCTTCTAAAAAATTTTTTCTTTAGAATTTCTTCTTCTTTCCTTATTTTTTTTTAAGTTCTTCCTCTTCTGCATTTTTCTTCTTCTTTATTTCCATTTTTGTCACAATTTTCTTGTTCCTTGCAGATTTTTTGTTCATTTTCTTTCCTCTCATGGGATTGTTACTTGTTATGTGGTGAAAATTTTCCACAACAAATGCCCAATAGTTAATAAAGCAGGGTGCTAAAGATTAGAAATGTCTATCAATAAGATGAGTTAAAATGTATAGAAAATTTTTTTACCATTTGAAAATAAACTAATTATGGCAAAAACGTATTTTGGTTTTAGTAAAGTCTCATAATGTTATAAGACATTTTTTTTCTAAAGATTTGGAATTTGCATGGGATTATACGCTGGTATTTTTTAATTAAAAGAGTTTTCTTAATAATAAATAAACACATTCATATACATATATAGAGATCTACAGGTAGTGCTGAAAAAATAGGAACAAACGATTTAACATCAGAATTTGAGGGGGCAGTTACTCATGGTTGAACTGATAACTTTTCAACACCACTTTATATATATATATGTGTGTGTGTATGTGTGTGTGTGTGTAACGATAAAAGTGGACACTGAAGTCAAGACCCAGAGGTGACAGTCTGTTTCATGCTAAATGCAGTTGATGGCCTGATGATTGCGTTTAGCATGTAACAGACTGTCACCTCTGGGTGTTGACTTCAAAGTTCACTTTTATATTTACATATGCTCTATTCCAGATAGTGAGCACTTTAACCCATAAATATAGCATACCTTAAAACTATATTTTATCATTTATATATATATATATATATATATATATATATATATATATTATTAATGCAAATAAATGTAATTTGTCACTTAATTAATTGATGTTATATTCAGGTTTTACCACACCTTGACTCTAGAGTTTTGTAGATGAAAGTTTCTACTATCTAGGTCTTCACATGAAAGGAAGACAGTAATAATCTTATATTTATCATATATATATATATATATATATATATATATATATATATATGTGTGTATATATATATATATATATATATATATATAGATACACCTAGTGAGCCAGACAAACCTACCTAGGTTTCACCTAAACCTAACTTTCCCTGACGATCCATTTAGGTGAAACCTAGGTAGGTTTGTCTGGCTCACTAGATGTATCTAGGTCTGCTCTACGGTTGTATTGAGCTCTTTTGTTAGTTAGTTGTTACTCGTATCGGGGTTTTTTCTTTGGGCTTCAGACCTGCATCTGTGCGATTTTTTTGTTGGCAGAAGTTCATGTTTGTAGCTCTTTCTTTTTTTAAAACCTTTTTTTCCCTCGAGATTGATTTGATTAGCAAATCAAAAATTCGAGGGTTTTTTGAAACGAGTCTAGTTATCTATATTTATATATATATATATATATATATATATATATATATATATATATATATATATATATATATATATATATATATTTATATTAGTATTTATTATAAATAAGCATGTATGATAAATATATCTTTTAATGAAATCAAAAGATTTATCTTACTCTGATAACCAGTGTATCTGTGAAATTTGAAGGCAGAAGATAATTCTTTTGAACTTTAATTTATTTATTAACAATAACATACATTAGCTATAATATGTATCTATATATATGCATACATATATATATATGTTAACTATAATATATTTATATATGTTAACTATAATATATATATATATATACATATATATATATATATATATATATATATATATATATATATACATATGTTAACTATATATATATATATATATATATATACACATATGTTAACTATATATATATATATATATATATATATATATATATATATATAGGTATATCAAAATACTTTTTACAAAATTTTGGGGACATGTTCCTCACACAAAAACAAGGACTAATGCTCGGGCCATTTGATGTAAAATGTGTTCCTTATGGATAGGCATACCAGAAGATCTTGGTCTTCCATAGTTTGTGCTGCCACAGCCTCTGTCTCAGCAATGCAATAATAAACAGCAGCAAAAGTCTTTGGCCTAGAAATGCAATCTGATACAGCCATGCACCCTCATGCCCATTACCATTCATGCAGACATATGTAAAACTCATATCTGCCTGCTTATAATTGGAATATCTGCCATTGTTAAACAGAACACTTCTCAGTTAACTCATTCCTACATGTATTACCCACAAATATACACGAATGACAAATGTAACCTAGTCTATATGGCAACACAGTGTCATCTACCATAAACTTACTTTAAACTTAATAACTCAAAACCAAAGGAATTTTGAACGTATGTTTATATGGACTTTTGTCCTTGTTTTGGTGTGAGGAACCCTCCCCCAAAGTTTGTAAACATATATTGATACACCCTACATATATATATATATATATATATATATATATATATGCATGCATGTATGTGTGTATGTATGTATTTTAAGGTACTTTTATCTTCATATATGCTTTCCTTTAAAATTTTGGATGTTTTTACCAATGCATCTTGTGAACATTGTTTACATTCTATTTGATAGACTTCTGCTTCTGATGTCAAGTTAACTCTTTGTTCTACATTGATTAGATGTATAACTGTTTTTGAAGTGTTTTTTATTATTTTAACATATTTAATCAATGTAAAACAAAGAATTAACTCTACCTCAGAAGCAGGATAGAATGTAAAATTAAAATACTTCAAGAAAACATTCTGAAACTTGTGTGGGAAATTGCATAGATGGAACTGTTTGGGAACCATTGATGGTTGTGCTAGCACAAAGTTGCAAGTCATCATGACCGAGGGTTTGAGCATACTGGCTTTGTTCAGACTGTTGATCATGCTAGATAATGCGTTCTTTCCCAGAATCTGTAACTAAAATCTGTTCACCATAGTTGCAGTATAAACCACAGGTGGGCTCTGTGGCTGTTGAACAAACACAAATGTGCCTGAGCTGATGTTTGCAACAGGGATAGCCATCATCATCATCAGCAGCATGGTTGTCATCTTCATGACTTGCACTTTTCTTAATGCAAATAAAAAAAATATTGTTGCAGTCTTGATCATCATTATTTTGGCACTTTCCTCATTAATTATTTTTTTTTTTTTAAATAACTCGGTCAAACTTTCAGGCATATTTCAATATTGAAACATATTTACTGTTATTTTTCTCACTGATGTATCTTTCAGTTCTAAAGCAAATTTGGCAAGGTTTAACTTAGGACAAGGCAAAAGAAAAAATAATGCGTCACTCAGGCATTTGTCTTTTAACATCACTATTATATATTACTCTTACACATATTTATGTTTTTTTTAAAGCCATTTTTAGAATTTTGCTAAAAAATATGAAAGTGGATTTAAACATTATTTTTCTCATTGTAAACAGCCATAATTACCATGGATTGCATTTTGTTTTAATTTTCCAAATGGGATTTCATTTCTCTGTTATTATACATTCATTGTAAAATTGGCAATTACATTTTCAAATCCAAAATTCAACCCTCTTTGTAAAGTAAAAATCAAATAATTTTCTGAATTTTTTTTTATTTTACCAAGAACTCATAGAATTTCATCTATATAGATTCAGATTCATATATTAGGTTTTTAATAAAATTCTAAAAATAGCATTTTAAAACAGTAAAAATTACAGAATGAGTATACAGCAATAGCAATGTCAAGAGATAAATGTCCTTTAGACACACTGTTTAATTTTTTTTGCCTGGTCTTATGTTAAACTTTGCTGAAAGTTATTAGTCAATATCTATTGAAATGTAATTCTTTCAGGATTAAATATTTTTTCATATTATACAATTCAGCTAGTTTCTCTTAGTACAACAAAGTACTAAAACCAAATTCTCACAGCATTGTACAATAAAACCATTTTAAAAAATAAAAATTTAAAAAGATAATTTGGGAAAAGTTTCTTTGTTCCAATGTAACTGATATGCTATCTCTTTGATATGATGTCACACATTGACATGCCCTGTAACAGTCAATGTTGTACTGAAATAGTACATTGAAACTCATCCATGTGGTCATTCTGCCTTAATGTCATGTCTGACATTACCATACTTCCTTCATCTTAAAAGTGCAATAGGAGAAATTTTGGGAATAGGTTAGAAAATGAAAAAGGCAGGTCATACAAGTTAAGGTAATGACCAATAAATAAAACCAAACAGTTCTTTGGTGCATAAAACAGAAAACAACTTTATGAACAAACAAAGAACAAGAAAGAAGTGTACATTTGGTATGCATATAAAGTGTCCATGCCTAAAGAATGTACAAGAGTCGGTCTTTTTCAGAACAATGAAATGTGACCTGTCTATTAAAGTTTTATCTGGAGTCATTGATGTGAAGTCCATTACTGCAACTACCTGATAAAAAAAAGAAAACTCTTGTTACTAAAGTCAGAGTAAAAGAAAAGAGAAAGGTCTCTACTTTTTTCATACACCCACAAGAGTGATTCTCATTGGTCAGGAGATAGTCCTCACAACACATCTATTTTTAGCCATGGAAATAAGCATGGCATACAGATTTTTTTGAATTCTGCTAGACTCCATAAATTTAATTTTCCCACCTTCATGATGAATACATTTTTTTTCTACATATTTTCACAAAATGTCAATTACTATGCATATCACTGATAAATATGCTTTAGATGGTATCTTGGCTTTTGGAAATGGTGATGTTCATAAGGAAATCCTTTATATATATTTTTAAAGAAATTTGTAATATTTTTACTATTTCTGGTTGTTCATACTGTGACATTGGATAGCAACTCAAGACATTTCATA